GTAGCACTTCCAGATGCGGTCGAAACGTAGCGTTCGCAGTCCGTCGGATTTCTGGTCCATCGTGGCAGCAGCGTTCGCCAAAAGCAGCAACCGGAACTCCATGACTGCCAAATCCACCAAAGCCTCGAACTTTCCACCGTTCGCCATTCTCACTCGCTCAAGGTTGAACTCTTTGGGGTTTTGCAGAAGGAGAATGAGTGGCGAGTTAGTTGTTCGTTATATAGGTTTCGTTGTTTCCTTTTTATTCCCATCTCTATCTCTGGTTAGGAGTAGGATCTTTCCTTTTTTAAAAACAAAAAAAGATTTTGGCAGATTTTGTTTCTGTTATGAACCCAATCGCGAGCAAGTCTGACGTGGACAAACCCAAGAGCACACAACTTCTTGGAAATTACTATTTTACCATTCGTCGTGATCGGATTTTAATTAGCATGTGTTTGTAGGATGAAAAGGGGATATAAGAGATCATTTGCAGAATATTAAAGGTACAATTGAGATGAGTTTAATGTAACTAATGCTAATCCAAAACTTTGGACATATCTGTTCCTTGGACTGAGTGTAGAGTGAGATGACCAAACATGTCTTTTTCTATGAGATTTATAGTAGCAATGTGACTGTACTTTTCCAGTTTTACGAGGAAAAAAAGAAGAACTCAAATGATGGGCCGTATATTGGGGGCCCAATGTTCTAGAGAATACGACGCGGGAGATGAATGACAGGTGGCAGGATACTGGAAAATTTTCAAACTCATTCATACCATTGACTGCAATGGCTATTTTACCCCTCATCGGGATCAATTTTAATTGGCACGGTTTTAGGTATGGTTTGAAGAAAGGGAAATACAAGAGATGATTTATAGGATATTAAGATAAGCTTAATGTGGTTAATGCTAATTCAAAACTCTGGACATATCTGTTTTTTAGCTTGGCCAACGAACAAGAATCCCTAGTTTCCTCAATTTGGCCAAAGATACTCGTGAATGAATATTCACACTGATATATCTATATATACACACATACATACTATATGATCAAACCTGTCATATGCAAAGACGTGCTTATTCGTCACATCGATCCAACCGTCGATTTTGTAGAACAAAATGCAGCTAATTCCAAATCGGGAAAAGGAATGTCTATAGTCATGATCAAACCTTCTCTACTTTGTTTTTCTTATATAATTTTTTCTTTTTCTAACCGAGTAATGTATATTTCATATGTTATATTGACGATTAGATGATAAATGCAACATTTTTTTAGAAACATCTTCTGATTTGAGCAGTGTGGGGACCAAAGTCGTGTTTGAAGAAGTTGTAACGAACCTAAAAGAACAGAGAGATTGGTGTTGAGGACTTGACTGTGAATTTTTAAAGGTCTTTTGATGATATTTCATTAATGCATTCAAAGAAATGATATTGATAAAAAAATATTTTTATTAGAAAAAATATATATCATATTTGACAAATGAACGGTCTTGGTAAAAAAAATCTTTGAATATGTTCAAGCGATTGGATCTCTCTATGTTGTTTTGTTTGTGAAAGAACTTGCATTTTGGTTTTCCAAGTTCAAGAAGGAAAGGAAATAAATTCACACAGTCACAAAGACCGCAATGAATCCAACCATCATATACACAACTAGATTCCTAGATCCTATCATTCCAATTCAGTTAAGAGATCATTTAATTGCAATAAGACCATTGTACGCAATCTTCAGTCATTCTGTCATATATGCAGTGAAAAACAGATGAATATTCAATACTTATATCTGTGCAAAAGAATAGAAGAATTTTTTGAATTACTCGCCCTGCAACACCCCCCTTTCCATGGCTTGGACTAAGGATTTATCCTCCCTAACATCGTGAAAACAACCACGTACTTGAGCATCCTCTACTAGTTCATCCACACAGACTTGCTCTTTATCAGAGTTGCTTCATTGCCAATTATCCATATGCAAAACCTTGCACGGGTGTGTGCTACATGTGTTCATTGTCGGTCTGACATGAAACCAAGTTCTCCGCTTGCGTTAGACCGAACCGCTAATACTATGATAATATCCTCTTCACCGCCTTGGAACCATCAATGGACCGGACAGTGAGAGTGAATAACACACCAGGCTCACTGCTATACACCCCTCTTATCTTTTCTTGGATGGCAGATACTTGAGCACTACAAGGGAAAATAATGTTAATGCTAATCTGTTTCCTCCTTTCCTTTGACAATGCAGTTACATTGAAGATCACTGAAAATCATAATCTAACAATTTCTTTATTTCAACAAAATTGAATCAGAATGGATTTACCTCAAAAGAGGTTCGTACTATCTCAGACACCACATCAACTTCGACATCATTCTTCAAGCTACATCCTTATGCAAATTCTTCTCTTCCATGGGTCTTCCATGGGATACATTGATGAACGAGTAAGGAGTTTGTGACATTCATATATCATATTCGAACAATTTTCAAATATACACATAGAGAGAGAGAGTAAAATATAACAATTCATCTCGTACATTTTTGGGACAAAAAAATCTAGTTTTATTGTGACTCGCATAACATAATTTTTCTTAATCCTTCACTTTTAAATATAAATATGATTAGATCTTTAACGATATTAATAATATTATACAATTTGGAAACAATTTGAATATATATGAAAAAAATAATTGAGATATTTTTTATATATATTTTGATAAATCAAGATATGGGTACCATGGTTCTGGGTGACCATGTCCATTAGAGGAGTGATCAACGACCAATCTATTACAATAGATCGATTATTGCACTGTTTTGGGTTCATCTTCTTTGACACACGATCGATGTAATAATAATAATAATAATAATAATAATATAATTTCACTGACAGTGTCATAAGATTGTAAGTAAAATTCTATTTAAATTGGTTTCAATGAATCCTATGAAACATCTTCACTTCTTTTGCATTGCGTGTAATACTGAAAAAACATCCAAGATATTAATATGAAAAATAAAATGAAAATTCCTCCTACTCCTCTGGAGGTTATGTTTCAAAATAGAAACTAAACTAACACAATGGGCAAGGACGACTTTCTCGAGCCACTGCACAATACATTCGATATGAAACAAATGAAGGCAATAAGGTAGTGGCGTAGGCTCGAATATTGCTTCTTCTTGAGTCACTTTTTCCTCTTTGAAATTTTCAACCAAGGTAGATTGCTCTTTCAACGTTTCTTCCTTTTCAACCATATCAGCTCCCCTTTCTTCATCCACCGAGCCAAATGTATCAAAATTATCACAAATCATTCAAACATTCCCCCTCATTTGGCTGATGGAGTGGCTTCATTTTTTGTAGAAAAAATTCACGAACTGTTATGTCGGTGAGCTCTTCTTCGGAGTATGTTGTGGTTGAAGCTTGATCTCCTCTTGCTAATCGTTCTTCTAACCACATTAATCTTGCTTCTTGAATGGTTGGTAGAACCTTTGATGACAATATCAAAAGTATAAAATTGTAATAATCACCCGTAAGTAATCCAAGAAAATGAAACAATAACCGTGTTTTGATGTCAAAGCCCGGATGAATCTTCTTGAGTTCGACCATCACTTCTTCACAAGCATGGCCCCTCTCTTCTTTTGTTGTCCAAGGCCATGTATTATCAATTATTCGGATCTTCCGAATATACTCAAACGTGGCAATGATCTTGTAGTCTTCGTGAGACATGAAATATTTCGTTATATTCAATCTCCTCTTTGGTTTGCTGCAAGCTAAGAGGGATAAAAAAAATTGGTTGTATCAACCAAGAGACACCTTTTCTTTTTCTTTTTTTTTAAATAAAATAATAGAAACACTCATATTCGATTAAAGAATGATTCGAGAGGGAATGCGTTTTGAAAAATGAGGTTGTTTTGCGGTATTTTCAGCGGAATGATTAAGAATGGTCTCCATAACTCTTAACGCTCTGACACCATATGAGTTTTTGTATATTTGTGAATGTTAGGAACTGAATATTGGAGTGAGAAACAAAGGAAATCAAACTAGGAACAAAAAGAAAAGAGGATCCGAAAAGTGTTTGTGGAAAAGGGGACCATGTCCCTTGTTATCTTTCTTGAGTTTTCTTCTACTGCCTTTACATGCATATTATAAGTAAATTATTATACAGAGAAAGCAAAACATATGGTAAGAAGATTTGTCTCCAACGGATATGTATACATATGGAAAGATTTAGTCATTGAAGATGATTTGATCTTGATTGATTGTAATCTTGTTTGTTGATTATAATTGCTCCAATTATGCTTGATTTATTGCAGCAACGGCTAGGTGTTGTGCATAGACATTTAGTGTGAGAACTTCTCGACGTGGCTTTATGTGCTTCAACATTCTCCCTCAAAATTGGTTTGGAGAAATTCTGAAAAACCAATCTTGATAGGTGAACGCGTTCGTGCATGTGGAAATATGTGTTTGGGTATTCCATGCTCCTCCATTGTGGTTCTTTCGGTTTTGAGATCAAATTGAGTGAGGAATCACATGTCAACCCTAACAGATTTCAATACATAAATAGATAAGATGGAGATATCTGTGTATGTTCATTTCAGAAAATCTCTGTTTTTATTCTTCTTTCAAACCAAATCAACATAGACAATGGACAAGAACAAAACTATTGTTTCTTTATTTTTCCTGATATTTGGTTTTGCTTCTATGGAGATGTTACTCACGTGCTTATTGTTAAAAGAAAACAGAACACATAAAAAGAAGAATTATTTAGTGAAAGTTAGATTAGCTAATATAAGGAGATGGTTTCTTAAAAATAAACACGTGGATGCGCACGTATTCAACCAAAAATATGTATTCCAGTATTTTCTTTTATAGGGCTGACCAAATAGAATCATATATTAAATTTATTAAACAATGGTTTCTTTAAAAAAAGAAAAGAAAAAAGTAAATAAAGAACCGTCGTGTAAAAGAGAGAAAAATAATCAGAATCAATTTTAGGCCCATAATATCTTCGGACGCTCTGTATTCTATATCACATTGACGCCTTTTTTTCCCCCCTCGAAAACATTTCGACTCAAGTCTCGACCTATACATAAAGTAGTTTGGCTGAAATTTCGAATTTCGTAGATGCGCGCGGGGTTCCGAATCACTATTCCCTTCCATTCCATGGAGATCGCTAGAAATCCGAAGCTTCCTCTGCAAGTAAGTCACCGTCCATCTTCACCACTCTCTGCATCTGTGCTTTTCCTAGATGATCCGTCTGATCGATCTTCTCCGTTTCCGTCTGGTTCGATTTCTTCTTCGTTTTTGGGGTGTGGAATTTTTCCTCCCCGAACTCAATTTCTGCAGTTGTTACTTTCCGCGTTTCGACGATGCGGATTATCAGAAAATCTCTGCAGATTATCTGTTTTACTCGATCGATCTGGAGATCAGGATCCTACTACGACATTGATTTCGAGTAGTTTTTCTGCTTCCTCTTGGTCTTATTTGTTCTAATTAATGTTGAAAATATATAGATCCCAGACCGATTTTCACTAATCCGAGGCTTTCCTACGGTTATATGTTTGAAAACAGTTGCAGACACAGGAATTGGAAGCTCCCTGGATGAGTTTCAGGATCTGAGGTACTCAAGGGAGCTCTACGGAGTCAAGATTTTGGGTCAGTGTGCACCAACGGAAAAATTTAAATAATCGTCTGTCTTTGAACTTCAGAAATTAAACAAAATTTTAGGACAATCTTATGTATAATGTCCCTAACTGAATCTGAATGTATAATGCCCCTTTCTTTGCCAAACAAAAATTCCAAGCTGAGAGCATTCGACATTTTTGGGTGTTGTGATGCAGATGGGATGCTTTCTGTCAAGACTACTTGTAAGATTTACCATTGGTTTCATAGCCCTTTTGCAGCAGGAAGTTGCTTTTTGGTTTCATAATCTTTTCTCTAGAGAGGCTGATTATTAATCATTAACGATCATCTCTTAATATTCTAACTCGAGTTATATAGTCTAGATTTGCTTAAAGATGGTTTATGAGTTCTCATGATTGGACTAGAAGAAGCAGGGAGAATTTTGAGTCAAGGCCTTGAACTTGTTACATGCAGTGTCTCCTTTCTTGTGGTATCGCAGGCTCTACAGACGATGAGGTATATTGTTATCATATAAAACTTGATGAAAGTAATTCGAACAGAAGACTGAAAAGACTACCTTCTCAGACTAAGAATGGCGCCAGATTCAGGTATGAATTAAGACTTAAATTTACTGAGGACATTGACTTGTAACCTTTCGGTTATTTTTCCCTTTGTGTTTGTGATACTCTTTATTTTCAGTGGGACTGAAGTAAGCCTACGTGTTTCCGAAAGCACAGAGGATCTGGTGGCAGAAATTGCTGGTTTCTTTCGTAAGGTCTTCACTTCTTCTGTGCATTCTCGTTTTCTTTGATCTGTGATATGTTCAACTGATAGTATGCTTATTACATCTAAGAAAGTTTGGTTGTGAGGATACTGCAACTGTAATAGTAGAGAGACAAATATACATGCTTATGCTGCAACCATTACTTGAATAATGTTTGGTCAGGTCTCAATTATAAACTCAGGGAGATGTCTTGTGGCCGCGAGCTACTGAGTCAACTCACACCTTACTAATCAAGTCACGCAAAATAGCTTCATTAGATGCCTAGAATCTCTGGGTGGTCTGTTTGTATGGACTTTTAGCGTGTGCAATCCGTTCTTTGGTAACCTAGATTTCGCATTTGCTTTACGTTGGAACTATCAATTCGCTCAGTTCTAATCCTTGATTTTGTAGTCGGTTATTCCAAGATTCAGATCCTTTAGTGTTGCTAAAATAACAATGTTGCTTTTTTTCCCTCTTGTAGATGCTTGTTCTACAGATTCCTGTAAGTCCAAGTTTCGCATTCTAGTTGTTGCATGTGATCTTTTAAGTTTTGTTTTTTTTGAGGATCATTTTTGATATCCCTGTCGTTATTGTAAATGGCACGTGGACAACCAATTCCTTTCTACCCCTCCAGAATGTTGCTATGGACCTTGTGGTAAAACATGGGCCTGATCCTAGTACTCAAAGTCGAAATGTCTTTGTAGTGAGTAACGAGACAATCTCATGCTTTACGGCCTCCAGTCTTGAACGCTTGAAGTGTGGCCTCGAGGACTATATTTTAAAGCATGGGAATTGTCTGGATGTAATGTGTGATTGTTGCTTCTCTGATAGGTATTGCAATGCAACACCGTTCATGTTGCTGAAATATTTACAGCTTCACTTAATCACTTTATTTCTGGAAGAATTGCCTGTTAAGTCACTCAGATATAAAAGATGAGAAGTGGCTTTACTTTTTAATGTTTCAGAGATAATCTAAAAGTTGGAACTGGAACGGAGTGCCATGAAGAGAATCACAAACGAGCTGGAGGAACGATTGAAGTGGCGGTCGTAATAAGTGAGTTATTGGAGACGACTAGTCATTGCAGCAGATCTTGTAATGGAAAAACCGAGGTCCGTTAAGTTCTTCAGATATTATATAGTTCATATTTTCGTGGAAGATTTGATTTATAGCATGTTGATCTGATCATGATGAAATTTCCTCAGGTTATGTGCTTTGAGGATTTCTTGCCTTCTCCTATACCACGTTTCCTTTTTACCGCACTGAAAAGCATTGACTGGAAAAGTTACGGCTTGACATTCGCGAGTATCCAAGAGCGAGACGGGCATGTGTTGTTAGAGTGGGAACACTTCCCTTCGTATGCCCAGATAGATATCGCCGTCCATTGGTATCATAATCAATATCCTATTTTTAAGTGATGAGTGTTCTTCTCTTCATTGTGCTTTGCCACTGTCCTCAGATGCTTAAAAGTATTTGCCTTTGGTGGGGAGCTTTTAGATTTTAAGTATAGTTGCTTTTAATATTTGTTGGGTCGTCGATGTATTTCTTAACTTTCTCCGAATCCACGACTTCTCTGGCAAGACAGAAGGCTCAGGTGGGTACGAATCTCATGAAGAAAGCAATTAAAAGTGCATTGGATGATTTGAAGGCTAGACATGAGGGTTTTCTTCTAAGCTCGCATTCTGTCAAGGTCCTCTCTTATTTACATCTCTCTATATATATATATGAGTTTGCTAGTAAACGTTGCTATGCTAATGATCTTCAGCATTCACCCAACAAGAACTCGTTGTTTGTTTGTTTTTGGGGTTCAGATATGCAGTTATGCCCCTGACCTTGCAAGATCCATAGCGGGGCTTATATTATCTTCCGATGACGTGGGCTTCCGAGGAGAGTGCCTGTCTCTTCTCGGCTTTCAGTCCCAAGACACGGGACGTGAGGCTGTTGAGGAGTGCATCAGAGAAAAGATAATCTCAGTGATAGGGATGAAGGAGAGGAAACCCCAAGAGGCTGCTGCACCTTGTCTCTTCTCCGATGGTGGGCCCCAGACATCATGCTTCGAAGACGAGGAACTAGAAGACGAAGGTGAAGGTGAGTATTACTCTTCTACCTTGATTGATGATGACATACGCGCTTCCTACTAGAAATGCAAGAAAATCTATGTTAAAACTTTCCAACGTTTTTTTTATAATGAATAAAAGAATATCATATATAGCACAAAATGTTTCTAATCGTTCAAATTTCTTTGGGCCAACTATTACGAAAAACGTTGCGTGTATTGGAAAAAGAAAAAGCATCTAGCACGAGATACAAGATGAAATCCTTTTAATATTTCAATCTAAAAAATTATCATATATTTATAATTAATAATTAGCAAAAATTATATGAAATTTATTTATAATAGTGATGATAATAAACCTACAATTTATTTATTGGATTAAAATATAAGAATTTTTTACAATATATCATTTTATAAAATAATAATGATAGTAGAAATTAGAATTATTAGAATAAATGAATATTTATAATAAGTAATAACCATCATAGCTTGGGAGTTTCAAAAACCTTTATAAATCTCTTGTTTTTCAATTTTGGAGTGCTTGCTTATTATTAATTTACTTAGTTTATTTTATTGAATCGTCTTTTTTTTTACTCCTTTCATCATCTTTACATTTCTTAGCATCTGTTACTACTAAATCTATTTTCCGCGTTCGATCTTGATATTATAATCGATCCATATTCTTGCGAACGTTATTGTGATTTTGGATTATTATTTGGTAGAACAAATCTATAGCCTTAGATCCGACACATCGCATATCGGGAGAAGACAAGAGCAGCAACGCAACCATGTTGGAAGTTTTATAAAATATTCAAACACAATTAACTCTCCTTCAAGAAGAACAGAAAATTTAAAAGGTGAATTCTATTAAAATTACTAAGCTTGTAAAATGGTAGAGAACTAGTTCATAAACGTTTCGTTCGACAGATTTATTCTCAAATCTATAAAATATATTATTATAATTTTCAAACTTGTTAATTGGTAAAAAAAAAAAAAAGTTCTTTGTTTTCTCTTTATTTATTGAGTTGTCTTCTGTTTTGATTAAATTTTCAGAGGGTTGGTAAAATGTCTGTTTTGGTAGCTGCGGCATTTATATTTATGAACAAGTATTGTCCCTTTCGTGTTTCGGTTTTTAGGCTTGTATCTTTGCCATTCTGCATCTAACCGGGCAAGTTTAGTTCGTAAAAAAAAAATTGTTGGAAATATTTCTAGATGAATGTTTGTGGACTAACTTTTAAATAAATACCTAACAAGTATGATGTTGTTTACTCTTTATGCCCAATTTATCCACCTTTTGAGACGATTTTGCTCTCCCCAATTTCCATAGAAATATTCATATCATTCCTTTAAAGATGGAACCTTTCAAATTAAGATTTAAAATTTTAGAAAATGGTAAATATTTCATTTTGTACCAATGGATATGTGAAAATTTAATAAATTGGTTAATGGGTATGACGAAATAATTTTTTATTTATGTAAAAAAAACTACAGATTCTTGATAGACAATGTACCGGTTAGGGAATTCCCAAACCGGAGAACCCACGAAGGCGTATCCATCTAAACCGATGTCACTACATGTCATAGTTTGGGACAAATTATGGTAAAAACGTGTATTTTTTTTCCTGTCAAAATTGTAGAACTTCTGTCATATTTAAATACTGAACATGAAATTTCATGAACCTGGATTTTTTTATGTGTGCGTACATAAATATGAAATAAGAAAGTTCAATCTTTCTTTAATCATGTCCTTAAAATAAAAGAAATGATCGAAATTAGTTTGTATATTTCATTGATTTGACATCGTCGTCGGCTTATTCGACGTCCTTATCTAAAGCTCTTATTTTCCTTGGTTGCTTTTCATTTTTTATAATTATAATTTTATATATTCTCCAAGCAACTTTCATCTTATCAACTTGGAACAAATTTCACCACCAATTTTTATTATTATATGTATATATGTATAACATTCTTTCCACTATCTCAAGACCATTTTAATATCCATCATAACACATCAACATGTCTATTAAACTTTATACATATTCACATATTACATTAATATAATATATTTTATGAAAAACATCCAAAAGTTTTTTTCCGTCATAATCTATGCAATTTTATGTGATTCTATTTGACCTATAAATAAGCATCTTAGAATGTTATTTAATAAATATTTTTTTATCCTATACACCCACACGCATACATATATGATATATATCAAGCCAACGGTACTAGTTTTGGATATTGTTTCTCGTAAATACTTTTAATATATATCCTATTAATATGATTCTCTGTAATTAGAAAAATACAATGATCTCCGGGTACAGGTTATATCTATATCGACATTTGTAGAACTTGACCAGATCATGCCTCTCTTTTTTTTTTTTTTATCATTATTCATTGGGATACATACCAAACACATTAGATATGCATCGGGGTTTACAGTTCTTACACGCTACCACTTTTATTAATTAACTTAATAACCATAATGATTAATAATCTAATTTTGGAAAAATTCCATTAAAATCCCCAATTCGGTGAAGTTTATCAAACTAAGGTTTTATTTGTCAAATTGGAAACTGAGTATTATTTTGGTACATTTCACCAAATTGGAGATTTTTTATGAAATTTTTCCTATAGTTTCCCACAAGTATAAGTTAAACTAACCCAACAGATCGTGGGCGAGTGGTCAAGCTTGGGATATGAGGTAACTCCAAGGTTGAGTGTTCGATTTCTGGCTGGTGGGGAGGGAGGTAATTTCTGGGTTTATATGATCCATATACAAAGACTACTTCCGGGTTGAAGGTTTAGCTAGTCAGCGCGTTTAAAGGGTAGCAACTAGGATCCGCCGTTATAAAAAAAAAAAAAGTATAAGTTAAACTCGTCCTATATATGACTAACAAAAATTATAATAAAATTTTATTAATAGAGGGAGGATAGTGGGGGCAAATACGCAAAGTCAGAGATCAACGGAGAATAACGTGTGCGACAGCTACATGATTATTAAAAAGATAGTGATTCGTTTGACCTTTTGGGTTATGTTTGTTTTTCAACACTATTTATATTCATGACCAACACCTCAACATTTTTTTGTTATCTTAAAATAAAATTTAAATTGATCGATGTTATAGTATTATTTCGAATAGCGATACTACGTTGCATAAAAATGAAAACGGTCGATTTAAACGGTCTCCAAGACAAACCGCAACACGCTTCTTAACTACACAATTAATTTTTGTCATTCGGCATGTTCCCAAATGGATTTGCAAATAATGATAATAAATACACAATTATTAGAGTCTTTTATCAATATAATGACAGAAAGAAACATATGTAATGCATACAGTGCGTATATATATACACCTTTCGGGATTTCGATTGGTTACATTAAGAATAAAACAAAGACCAAGAGAGAGAGAGATCTAGAGAGAGAGAGAGAGAGAGAGAGAGAGAGGTCCATGGAAGGTGTTTGAGCACTGAATCACACCAAACCCAAAACCAAACCAAAACTAAAACACTTCAAAATATTCCAACTTCTCCACAAATAAAAACTTCTTTCATCATTCTGCTTCTTCTTCTTCTTCAAGAAACCCACAAAAAAAAAAAAAAGAGTGATGGAAGGATTGTTGCCAATGGCGTTTAAGGCAATAAAGAGGAGCAGGACTCGCCGGAGATACGAGTGCCTCTCTGCCGGAGCAGCTCAGTCGTTCGACGCCGACGACTGGAAAACCCACTTCGCAGAATATCCGACCGCTGATCGGAGCATCGAAACGAACGGCGGAAGAGCCCATCGCCACCGCCGTTGGTCCGTCGGAGATATCTCATCGTTTTCCTGCCAGGAAGAACGGCACGACGGAGATGTCACCGGAGATCGCACTTCGCCTCGGCCGGGACAACTTGTCAGGTTCAGGAGCCACAGACTGTTCTCTTGTCTGTCATCAGGTGAATAAGTTGTTTATCAAGAAGTTGTCTGGAAAGGAAAATAAAATGAAGATGATGTTTTTGTTGTTTATTTTCACGTGGTTTTGCGTTTGAAGAAAGAAAACATGTAAATACTCTGGTTCTTGCTTTGATCTTCCGGTGTGGGTGATTAATGTTTTTGGGGGGTTTGTTTTTGAAAATGTATTTGTTGGGGGCAAAAAGGAAAATAAACGCTTCTTACGGGGCCAGTTTAGAAATAATTTTACATTTTTATAATTTAATGTAATTTTAATTTTATAACGAACGCGGTTCATATGGGTTGTCCCACACGACTGGAATTCGTGGTACATATAATTTTCCATTTTCCTATTTAAAGTTACCATTGTTTTCTTTTTTTTCCCATTTTTTTTTTTTTGCATTTTGGTTTGTAAATAAATGTTGCAAGTTGCAACTATGCATTTTAGTTAGAATATGTCTCAGATAACACCTTTTTTGGGGAGGTGGATAACAATTTTAATATTTCCATTTGGTATATGATATATAACTATGTCAAAATCAAATTCGAATAAAAAATAGCATAAATGAAAATAACTACGTAAAAAATCTGTCAACGTAATATATTTCAAAATATATAAAAAAAAAACCGACCCCAAAACTAATTGGGATGTGTGGTAACAGAGCAACAATGGAACTAAAAATTCGAACAAAAAGTGAAACCCCAAAGTCGGGAGTCAATGAAGCGGTTAACCAAATCACTTGGACCTCTTTCATTGACTTTTACAAGTTTCCATTTGGTATTCTTTTACATCATAATATGGTCATGATGAGGATTTTACATGGCATACATTGATTATATCATCATCATCATCATCATTCTACAAATCAATCCACACTAAACCCAATATCAAAGCCCAATTATGATGTTTTAAAATTTTAATCGTCGGTATCTTCCTCGACATTGAAATGAAAGTTTCTAAGTATTAATACTATTTTTTTGATAATCCGAAAGTTCATCAAAGATTTGACCCGATTACATCTCTCGGAAGACTGGAAAAAGTGATGTGACGAGAACTCGAATCTGAATTGGAAATGAACTTTGCTCCCTTGAACCAATCAATCTTGGACGTATTAATAATATTAATAACTATGAATTAGTAATAATGTGATTAATTATATATTTCTAATATATCTCTAATAATCACAAAATGCAATAAAATATTAGATAGTGGGATCCATTGGGTTTCCTCTACATCCATATCACCAAATTTAAATGAATACAGATTTTTGGGATGCCTGCTTTGTGGAGTACTGAATACTCCATTTTTTTATAAAAAAAAAACAATGCAAATATACAATTTTTTGGGGATTGCAAAGCCAATATTTGATCCTGCAAATGGAATCTGAAAAATGGGAATGAGATGTCGCAAATCCAATACTCGATTTTTCCCCCCACATCCACACTGTGTCTCACATTAGTATATATGCTTTTACTTTGATATAAGTAGTGAATTATATAATACTCATCTAATTAATCATAACCGTGACTTTTTTTTTTTATAATGGAGGATCCTTAACTACTATCATTCGGATCCGCTGGTTAGGTAAACTTCCGGTTCGAGAGCGACCTTTGTATATGAGCCAAATTAGTCCAGAAATTACATTCCTCTCCGCTATGATGGATCGAACACTTGACTTTAAAGTGTTATCTATCTCAACTCAACCACTCGACCATTTGACGGTGGGTTTATAACCGTGACTTTTATATACCATATATAATAATTTTCTAGAACCAAAAATCTCTATTTATTTATGATTATAGAATTAGTCAAATGACAATACTCACACACACACATATTACATACATATATATATGCTTAAGATGGAATTATAAGACACGAAGCTAGACGAAGAACGTGTATGTCGTATTTTTTATGGAGGGGTATACGAATTGAATCATAAGATCGTATTAATAGGGGACATCCATACATGCATGCACGCATATGCCTGATTGTGTATCTTATATGTTCATCATCCATTTCCCTTTCAGTCGTCAGAATCATGAATAGTGGAAAAGCCATAATAATTATCTCTGAATTATTACTCTTTTTTCAAAATAAATAAATGTGTTTTTACAGTTTTATCCCGCATGTTTTGATTAGAAATAAAAATGAAATAGAATTGGAGAAGCAACTAGCGAGAGCAAGCAGAGGTTGGTTGGAGGGGGAGTCCCCAATCTAGTGGTTAGTGATAACTCTCCTCTACTAAAAGGTTGTGAGTTCGAAATCTAAGTATGGAAACTCTATTTAAGCCGATCAGTTTTATGAGGTTGGTTTAACTAGCGAGAGCAAGTAGAGGGTTGGAGACTTGGAGTTGTGCAATGAAATATAGTATTAGGGTAAGCTCTACTAGGGGTGGGCACGGGTCGGATACCCGGGATTTTTAGGGTACCTGAACCCGAACCCGAAAAATAATACATTTTGAAACCTGAACTCGAATCCGAGTTTTCGAGTATCCGAAGTGTATTACTCGCGAGATAATTTTTGGGTACCCGCGGATACCCGAACCCGAAAATTTTTAATTATTTTTTTAAAAAAAATTATAAATTTATAAATTTTATACAAATAATTCATAAAATTAATGAAAAGAATTTCAAATATTTATATTTAAAATAATTAGATAATAAAATAATAGTTTTTATATATACAAAAATATAAAAATTCAAGATAATTTATAAATATTTTTATTAATATTAAAATTTTAAAATAAATAATATTTATTTTTATTACTCGGGTACCCGCGGGTAATTACCCGACCCGAAAGTGTAAACCCGAATCCGAACCCGAATTTCGGGTTTTACATATTTTAAAACCCGATCTCTATCTCGTAACATAACGGATATCCGATTTTCGGGTATCCGACCCTCGGGTCGGAACGGGTACCCGATTTTCGGGTAATTTTGCCCACCCCTAGTACGAGGCATGCGTTGGATCGACAGGGCATGCCCACGTGACATGACATGTATCATAGAAATCATATCTGCATAAAATTCGACAAAGTTATATATATATATATATATATATATATGTACCATCGAAATTATTAGACAATCTTATAATGTATGTTGGAAAAAATAGTTTTATGCTGGTTATTATTCTTAGACATAGTGTAATGGTGTCATATGGACTCATTGAACTAAATAATGCATCTTTGTGTGTATCATGAAACTAGAAACTAGGCATGCTTCTTTTGTCTATCCATATATATATATATATATATATATATATATATATATATAATGAGCATATGGTATTATTTATATGCCATACTATTTTCATTTTAAATATTGCCACAGGTCCACTAGGCATGTAATCTATGGGAGGTTTTGCCATGTCCAAGGCCGTCAAGGCGTGGGTTGCCATATACAATATATATACAGTTTTACTCCGTATTTTCATTGGATCATTGTTACGATAGATCACAATATTCAATGCTGAAATTTAGTCATATTTTTCGTATAATATTATTCGCTATTACTTTTTAATTATTTTTTAAAAGAAATATCGCCCAACATTCCCATAGGAATTATTATAAAAGCAGAAATTTGAAAAAAAAAACGTGCATTTTTTAATTCGTGTCGAACACTGTTGAATATCTACTACTTAATTCAACAAAATTATCATCAAATTAATTGTGCAACTAAACCTGGACCCCTTTCGATTTAAAAGAGTAAACCATTTTCTCAAAAATCTAAATTGAAATATTTAAAATTTAGTGAATCTATAATTTTATATCAAACAAATCAAAGCTATCGTGCCGTTTTCTAAAAAAATTTAAATATGATACCATATGAATCGAGATATTATTATTATTATTATTATATTAAATTTATAAAATTCAAGTATTCGCTACCATGGTTTTTTGCGAATAACACATTTAATGAATAATTTTTATGTAATAGATTAACAAAAAAAGAATCCCCATGAACTCCCCCATATTCAACTCCAACTTGTTAAGTGTAGAATGATTTATATTTACTGCAATGTCGGGAATTTTAATTTTGTTATTATACAAAATGATTTTCAATCGAATAAATAGGCGTCAGTGTTCAGTGTTCACCGTTCACCAATTCCCAAGTCCTAACCCAAAAAATAAAGCTAAAATATAGGTTGGAAAACGCCTGTTTTCATTTCACCGCGTATATTAAAAAAGAAATTAAAAGGAGAGGGAGAGAGAGAGAGAGAGAGAGAGAGAGAGAGAGAGAGAGAGAGAGAGAGAGAGAGAGAGAGAGAGAGAGAGAGAGAGCGAGGGGGGTTCAGTGTTCACCGTTCACCAATTCCCAAGTCCTAACCCAAAAAATAAAGCTAAAATATAGGTTGGAAAACGCCTGTTTTCATTTCACCGCGTATATTAAAAAAGAAATTAAAAGGAGAGGGAGAGAGAGAGAGAGAGAGAGAGAGAGAGAGAGAGAGAGAGAGAGAGAGAGAGAGAGAGAGAGAGAGAGAGAGAGGGCCAGGGGAGAAGAACCTAGGTGCCATAGATTGATCGATCTTTTCCCCAAACCGGCAACTTGCTTATCCAAAATTTGAAAATAAAAGCCCACCCTTTTTTTTATTTTCTCCTTGCATTCCATTTTGATTTTGTTTATTTTTCCAAAATTCACTGAATCCTCCCTTCTTCTCTGACCCCACCGTTGCCTCGGTTCCTCATTCTCCCTATTCTTACCAAACTCAATTCCTCTGTTTCTTCAAGAACGGTCTCTCTTGGGAATGTCTGATTTCCCCTCGTGACCTACCTCCTCCTTCTTCTTCACGTCCTCGCCAAATTTCATCAAGCGGGTGGGTTTGTCTTCAACGCTCAAGGTACCGAGATGGGATCTTTTTTATTTGCATGCATATCTTATTCCTGATTTGTTCCCTGGTGCCTGGTTTTGCGCATGTTTCTTAATTCAATGTAATCGCTAAAACCCTAACCCAGATGATTATCCTCTTAAGATGTGATCAGCAGAACTTGGTGACGAAATGGGTCTACAGCTCCTTGAGGTGTTTGCACAGTTTTAGATCAGTTTTTGTTTTTTTTTTTTTGGATGATCGATCATATACTGGAAAACAGTTTCGATCTCCTGTTTCCTGATTGTGAATGTGGATTCTCTGTCATATCCCAACCCTTTGCTGAATTACGCCGACACAATTTCCTCCTGCAGTTCCCGGAAACACTGATTGGAAACTCCGAGCTTCTCCGATTCGCTGAGTCCACTCGGTGTCTGAGGTTATAGCGATTCGGTTCACAATTTTCCGGGAAATCAAAACGAGTTCTTCATCGCAGTGCTTCGATCAAGCTGCATTGGCGAAAAAGCTCGTTTCTTTGCATTTGGGTGTCTCAGTTCTTCCTCAGATCCGATTCTGGTCCCTCCATCTGAACCCCAAAACCCTAGTAGATGATTCGCGAAATCTCCGGCTTACCGAAAGACGTCATAAACATCCAAGACCGTTGTTCCGGCAGCATCATGGACAACAGAAACACGAGCTACCGAGGCGGTCCGCCGCTGGAGAGAAGGAAAAAGCAGGAGCTCCGGCGAACGTTGTCGTCGCAGAGTAGCTCGAGAAGGCTGATTCCGGCGAGCTACTTCAGCATGGAGTCTCTGGTTCTGTTGGTGGGTCTGACGGCGTCGCTGCTGATTCTGCCGCTGGTTCTGCCGCCATTACCGCCGCCGCCGCCGTTCATGCTGCTTCTGGTTCCCATCGGGATTGTGGTTGTCCTCATGATCCTCGCCTTCATGCCTTCTCCTAACTCCAAACATGTAGCTTCCTCCTCCTATATGTAAGTAAAAAAAAAAAAAAGCAGTGTCTCATTGTTCTTCTCTTCGGGTGTTTTGTCTTAACCACAAGAAGAGAGATTCACGGGGGACAATTTAGTTGACAATGTGATAATCGGATTTATTCTAGTTGAATAATCTATAATTGCAATCCAACTAAAATTCAAGTGATTATAATTCGTTAAAATAAAAAAAAATGATTTAGAATTTGAATTAAACCGAATGAAAGATCAACAGAATTGAAAATTATTTTGGAAAATGGATATTATTATCAATTAAAACTGAAATCGAACCAAATCCAAGATGAAATATAATCGAACTCAATTCACAGCTATATAATTTTTTTTTATCAAATCTAAATAATCTGAAATGACAAAAAGGACAAATAAGAAATGAGATACGGAATTTTGTACATGTCATTAAACACATTGGGATCCATTTTTCATCCTATGTATTGCGACAACTCTGAAATCCCTTCCTAATATACATAGTCATCGAATCATACATAACAAGTATACTTACATCATATATATAAATGCCTTTTCACCCTACCCTCGTTCAGGATGGCCAAACACTGAACAGAGACTGATACGAGACAGACCACCGAAACACTATCCTCGTCGGATCTCGCAATGCTGTCCGCAACACAATATGTGGCCTCGGGATCACCCAGGAAATCTGACTCGAGGGGAAACTCGACACCTTGGAGTGACCCACCGCCTTTTTCCCCGAGATGCTTTGAGGATCTCGACGCTGAGAGCGGCACGGACAGGTTTCGGGACACGAGGGAGGAGGTAGGCAGCAACTTCCACTTGGCTGCTGGAAGTGGCTGCTGTCAGAGCGAGACAGAGTTCCATGTCCCGATGTCCTCTCTTCACGAACCACTGGACGACCTGCATGCAGCCTCTCTCTGCCGCTCTCATTAAGGGACCCATGAAGGCAAAATGGCATGACCATCTTCCACCAGACACTCCATTGTCCCGATTTTACAATAATGTGAAGCGAACCCCAATGCCAAGTCGACATCCATGTCTAAGCTGTTCCTCTGAGCAATCTGTTCGGGTAAAAATGGAAAATCAGAAAACACATAGAATACTGAATAACAATGTAAAGTTGAAGAATTTGGCCAACACATACAACTTCTGTTCTCAATTACCTAAAATGCATTGCTTCAGGCTTATTTCTAACAGGGTCTTGCACATGGAAACACCAATGTGGGAGTCCTTGGAAGGATGAAAGAAAGCAAACAATAGGAGAATTTTCGTCTATTCTGGTCCCATTCTCCATTTTCCCTGTGTTTGAGCCCCAATTACTTGTCATATTACTTGATTCCAAGCCGAAAATGCATGACACGTGCATGTGAAACAGTATACAACCTGCAAATACATCTCTCGAAAAAGCACAGATACAACTTCAAACCCCAGGATATATCAAGTGGCTAGGTCATACTGTAATTTGTAATCAGGAAGCTGAATCTGCTGAAAAGAATAGAAGTTGACCACACACAAGTTCCATGGTTATCAATCAGAATGATTTTAAAAGGTTTGCTGTAAGGTTCTGAAAAAAAACAAAGGTGCTGGAACCCAAATAATGTTAACTGCTAAGGATCCCATTGACCCCAGGGAAAGATTCTAACACATCACTAATACCAATCAAATGCTGGTAACTAAGGATGAGATTGAAACATTTCCAGTAACATATTTTGACTAATTAAAAGAAAGTTTCTGTAACCGGGAAACAAGAAAATGTTTCAGCAAATTAAATGTCAAAGTGGTACCTGCTGCCTGCAACAAAATGCACACAAGTTCTGTACTCCCGAATCGTGAAGCTTCAAGAAAACACTGATTCACTTTATCAGCACCACCCTGCACCAGCATACCGAGCAATCCTTGAACAAAAGCAGCTGACGTTCCAGATGACCAACTGGGATCAAATGTGCTAGAAAATAGTTTGAGGGGGAAGCAAGCTGCATCAAAGGCTTCGGTGAAGTCCTTTCCAGTTAGATGGTTTCCTGCCAGATCTAAGAACATCTTGAAAGCCGAAAGCTGGAGCTGGATTTCAACAGCTAAATTCTCGCTCACTCTATCCCTAGCGCCCTGCATCGGGAGTGGAAAACTATACATTTGAGGGCCCATTCAGTAAACTTTTGAACTTTGGCACCAGCTTTGGCTTTAAGAACCTCATCCCCGTTGCACTCTTTGAGACGTTCATGTAACCTTTTCATGTCCAGATAAAAGAAAAATGATTTGAATAAAAATTACTTAATACAAAGATCCATTACACATGCAGTGGAAAAGATGAGAGTAGATTAGGCCATTAGCTATTTCAAAGAAAGAAGAAGAAGAAGAAGAACAACAACAATAGGGAAAGTAACGTAGAGAAGTTCAAAACACATACATGATGTGCTTACTCTCAGACATATCGAACTAACAAGTAAAAGACATTCAACATCGAAGATGAAGCTGAATCCTGCAGAAGCCACAGCAATCGATTCCATAAAAGTTGCAAGCAGGCATTTTACATTTATGTAACGTAATCTAACAACATCATTACCTACAAATAATTTCCATCGGTAATTCAATTCATACGTACAGCAACATCACACACTCAAAATTTAGTGAAGACACAAATAAAAAATGTAACAAATCATTGTAAAAAAGTAAAATCCAGCAGACAAAATCACAATGCTGAAAAGTAAATGCATTCAAAGCATCATCAAACACAGTAATGCTAGAATTAAAGAAAGTGGGAAATATCTCAAAAAAGAATCATCTTTGTACCTTTGAGCCATCACAGTTACAGTATCTGCAAGACTCATTATCCGGCTCTGGCAGGCAGAGACACATGAAGCAAGAAATGAAGTCCTAAGAGTAGCTCTAGTAAAGTCATGAGCACCATGACTTATGAACTTCTTAATCAATCCGATTATCCAATGTGATTCATGCTCAGTGCTCAAGAACCAAACCGAACCCAGACCAACACACAACAAATCATTCAAAGTCGGCGGATCAGACAACTGAATCAACCTCTCAGGAAGTTCACAACTCTGTGAGCTGACAGCACCTTGGAAGAGTCGTCCAAGTTCAATTCTATCGTGTCGATTAAGCTTCTTCTCCTGCCTAAGATTTCCCTTCTCAAGGAGCTCAGAATTACTCCTGAATTTTGCACTACAACCACGACAATACAACATTCACCCGAATTATTTCCAGCTGAAATTTTATCAATCAGAGGCGCCTCTCTTGAGAAAACCACATCACTCCCCTCACCTCCTTCCGATGTTAAATCTGGTAACCCATTCTTCGGAGGTTCGACAGTGCTCTCCTCGGTTTCCATCTCGGAATAGAAAGGTTCATCAGGGTAAATCTAATCACCTAATTTCATGTTCTTACACATAACCTCTTTCTCATTTCCAAACCGTTCAAGACCCAAAACCAGCGAAAATCTTATTCTCGTGAGAGGTAGGCAGACATCCTGGAAACCAGTAGACAAAACAAAATCTTCTTTTTTACACGAACCTAGAGTAAATCCCTTCTTCCAAGTCTCGTTTGTTCTAAAAGCAAGTGCCCGGAAGCAAAATAATGAACGAAGCTCCCCGATTGATATTCTCTCAATCAATTAACCACTCCAGATTGCTTCAAAAAATCGACCAAAACAAGAAATCAAACCCAGCGAACTGCAAGACAAAATCCAGAGATTTCAAGCCCATCGTCCAGAAAAACTAGAAAATCACAACACAATTCAAGAGAGCAAAAACGGTCTCAAATTTTCCAATAGGTAGCCATTGGAGATATCGAAATCTACAAAATTACGGCCAAAACCCGAATAATCCAGCACCGATCCCCATCAGAACCAACGCCCCATAACCGCAATTCCCATCGGCCTGAATCCTCGATTCCTTCGATTTGTGAATGAAATCCTGGCGAAAACAGACGTTTTACCAATATTAAATTATTTTATTTTTGTTTTCAACATTTATATTCTACTAGTCTCGATTATTTTATTTTAAATAATAAATAATTCTTTAAAAACATCTCTTAATGAAAAAAAATATAACTACTACACTCGTATAAAAATAAACAAATAATCCTAAAATCTCAGCCGGACAGGGCTTTTTAAGAAATAATATAAAAAGAGATAATATATAATTGGAATAATAATTACAAAAAAAAAAAAATCTCTCCAAGAACCAAAACCACCGAGGGCACAAGGCGGACAGGGTTTTTCTCGACCTCTCTCTCCGTCGCTCAATCGAAATCTCTTCCAGGTTCACTCATCTCGCTCTTGCTTTTTTTTTTGTGCACACACACACATATATATATGTATATACATATACGTTGTTTTTCTATCGATGCCTCCGATGCGTGGTTTTCCTCGCTCTACATTACTTCTCTTTTTAAATGCTTTGGTATCGATTTTGTCTGTAGCTTTATTCACCGGATTAATTCTCTTCGTCTTCCTGTCTAGGGTTTCTTTCTGTTATATGGCAATCTGACTACCCTTTGATTTTAATGTCTTGTTCTGCAGTTTGAATCCAATTAGAAAAAGTGTCATCGAATTGAAGAACGTATACGCAAAGAATGAAGCTTGATGTGAATGTCCTGCGATATCTCTCCAAAGATGACTTTCGAGTGCTCACGGCCGTCGAGATGGGCATGCGAAACGTCTGTTTTCCCGTTCCTCTTCATTGGATTCAAAATTTAGGGTTTTGGGTTTATTGGAAATCAGTTTCTTCAAATTCCCTGAAAAGTACCTTTTTTTTTCTGTTGCAGCACGAGCTTGTCCCTGCCGAGCTTGTGGAGCGCATTGCTTCTCTCAAGTATGTTTTTTTTCTTACCAGTCTCGAGTGTTCTCGCTTTTGCCTCTTTGTGGGTTGTTAAGTTCTAGTCTTACACTCGTTGTCCGAGAAGACATAACAAGGAATCATCTGTACTTCGCTTTTCTTGTGATAATCATATGCCCGTTCCATTTACAGGCATGGGGGCACCTACAAGGTCCTGAAGAATTTGCTCAAGTACAAACTTTTGCATCATGACTCTTCTAAATGTGAGTACTTGTCCATGCATCAATAAGTTCTTTACCGATCTTGTCAGGACTTAGGATGATGATGTTAATGGTGATATCTGCTTCTTTGTGTAGACGATGGATTCCGGCTCACCTATCTTGGTTACGACTTTCTTGCCATTAAAACGATGGTGAATCGTGGTGTATTTAGTGCTGTTGGTCGTCAAATTGGGGTTGGTAAAGAATCAGGTGAGTCCTTGACGCGTTATAGTTTTGGGGTTTTCAATTGAATGCAATAGAGAAATTAATCTGTGCGTGTATGTTTTGTTTTCTATCTAATGTGTGTGTTTCTTGTATATAATGTAGATATCTTTGAGGTTGCTCAGGAAGATGGGACTGTCCTTGCAATGAAGTTGCATAGATTGGGGAGAACTTCTTTTAGGGCAGTCAAATCTAAGCGTGATTACTTGAGACATCGGAGTAGTTACAATTGGTTGTACCTGTCCAGGCTTGCAGCTCTTAAGGAATTTGCTTTTATGAAGGTTCTTTTCTGTTTCCATTGGTGTAACATTGGCATTCGTTGCATTAGTTTGTAGTTTTAGTTTCCATTGGTCTAATGTTTGTCAGCATGGAAGCAGGCTTTGGAAGAACATGAGTTCCCTGTTCCGAAAGCTGTTGACTGCAATAGGCACTGTGTTGTCATGTCCCTCGTGCAGGGCTACCCCCTGTAAGGACTTACTCTACTTTCTAAACACATTCTGCTTCTTCAGAATGCACATGTTATAGCATCGGTGATGCCTTTTGGAAATGGAATTCCATCAGTATCACTTTTGATTTTAATCAACATAAAGGGATCTAATCCTTTGACTTTCATAACTTTTAAAATCCGATCTTCTCACCTAACAGTTGTACATGACGATAATCTGAATATCATTTTAATGCCCTAATTGTTTGTCACAGAGTTCAGGTGAAACAATTGCAAAATCCTGAGATCGTTTTTGAGAATATCCTTGGAATTGTTGTTCGTATGGCAGAGCATGGTCTAATTCACTGTGATTTCAATGAATTCAACATTATGGTAAGATAATTCAGTATTTCTAAACTTATGAGTATGACTTATATGAATTTCAATGAATCATAAAGTTGGTAATTACATCGTGTTTATTTAACACCGGATTCATTTATTATTTTAGTTCATACTATAATCCGGTTTACACATTTGGAAGGATATTGTTGGCTTTAGGTTTCCAATAAATTTTGTTGACTTATCTAACTGTTATTTGTATCTTAGATTGATGATGAAGAGAATATCACGATGATTGACTTTCCACAAATGGTTTCTGTTTCACACCGAAATGCACAGATGTACGTTATATTTCATCTTTACATCCTGCCTCAGAAGTTTCTCAGTTTTCCTTCGGTGAAATTGGTGTGAATGTTATCTTCCACTGATTTATGTTTTAAACACTTCTACAGGTACTTTGACCGTGATGTTGAATGCATTTTCAAGTTTTTCAGAAGAAGGTTAGTGCCTGTGCAGTGTGCGCTGAATAGAAGTTTAATTTTAATTGAAATCTTCCAATTACAGCAAATAAGCCTCTGTTACTCAATTCCCCTCTGCATGATCCGCTCTTCATTACTACATTGTGAAATCCTTCGATGCTTATTCTTCATTCAATCCAGGTTTGATATGTCTTTTCAAGAAGATAGAGGTGGTTCAGATGATACAGAGGTAGATGTAGATGAAAGCGCCAGACCGTTATTTTCTGAGATAGCAAAAGCTGCTGGTGCTTTGGATAAGGAGCTAGAAGCTAGTGGGTTCACAAGAAAGGAACAGAATGACCTTGATAAAGTATGTGAGCTTATCTCTTCTTGAAGTCCATAGTCCAAAATTTCCTCTTTTTATTAGTCATAGGCCAAAATTTCTCATGTATATGCCGTCACTATGATCTTGCTCCTGTCGTATTGTTCCATGACCTGTAGTCCACTTAGATTTTCAGTTTGTGTCTACAGCCTATCTTAGCCTCCTAAACAAATCAAATTTGTGATTTTTTGCCAGATATTGCATGATTTTGAATTCCAAGCCGCTTGTGATCTTATTGCAGCACTGGTTTCTTAAGTTTTTTCTCATCCCTTTTTAGTTAATTACCAGGGATTTCTGTGGTCTCTTTCATATGGTATTTAATGGAATCTTGAATGAACATGTGATTTTATCTTTGCAGTTCATTGAAGGTGGCCTCGACAAGGGTAAAGATTCTGGTGAGGAGGAATCTGAAGATGAAGAGCAGAATTCTGAACCAAATGAGGAAGACCTCAATGAATTGAATTCATTACAGTTGCAAGAGAAGGTATGAATTTGGTGTGCGTTAAGACTGATTTTAGAAGCCGAAAGATGACAGCTTTGTTTCTCCTCGATCGATTTCTTGCGTGTTTTGATCCTATCCCTTGATAATGATGCTTTCTACCATGTTCTTGTGATAAAGCCGTCGAATTCAAACAATGACAAGAGCGAAGTTGAGGTGGATAATCATGAGAAAGGTCAAAGTACTGGAGATGAAGATCATGATGAAACCGACGAGGTTAGCATTTGCTTATCTTTTGACATCGAACATTGGACCGAAAACCCCTTTTTTCCTGTCTCCCATACTCCCTTCCTTTCACACACTGGGGAATGTGGTCTTAGTAGAGTGAACATATTTTGGTAATGCAAAATCTAATAAGCACCCAATTCCTTGTGAAGGAGGAAGATGAGGAAGGCGTGGAAGCAGAAGATGCAGAACTGGTGAAAAGGTTGAGCAAGCAAAGACGACGTGCCATGGCAGCAGTTAGAGGAGGTCGGAGGAATTCTTCAAGGAACTCCTACAAGGACAAGGGAGGTCGATCTTCTCAAAATTCCAAAATCCACAAAAAGTTGAAGGACTGGTGAAAAGCTGAAACTTCTCTCCAGGAAAATCGATATATATTACCATTCCATGCAGAGGAAACGAGAACTTTTCTCAACCTGGGAATTCAATGTGATCGCAATCTCTGCTACAACGAAGGCAAGAAGTGGTTTGTGTCTGAAAATGGAACCTGGTCTCTGTTCAATTTTGTTTCTTTCGGCTTTAGTCGCTGCAGATTTTGTACTACAGAGAAGGGCTGTTTGAGTTATACTGCTTGAATGGTATCTCTTGGTATCATTATGAACCAAATCCTATCTCTCTCGAAGGAAACTATATGTATATGTATATGTACGTATGTGTTTCCATTCCAAGGAGGCAGGAAGTACCTTTAATGCTTCCGACAGAAGAAAGGAACTACTTAAAGATATGATTTAGTAAACTTATCTGTAAGGATATTAGATTAGTTAATATTGAAAACACATACCATAATTAACAGACGGATTGAAGTGACTGAAATTTTCACTTTTGTTTCGACACGTTAAGTCCCAGCCCGTCAAGGGCCGAGGAGGAGATCGTGGAAAGCAAGTGATATTACTTGGGAAAATGATGACATATAATGTTCATCATATATCCTGACGGGCTGGTTTTCTTTTTTAAATGCAAGTTATATTATTTGTTAATTCCTTTTTTGTGATTTTACTAAGAACAAAAGCCTGTTTTCACCTCCATGGCTGAAGCAAACTTACATTAACCAAAAAGAAAAGAAAAGAAAAGAACCCACACTGAGATTCAATTTCAACCAAAAAAAAAAACTTGTAGAAGACTAGAGATATGTTACAAGGGGTTGATCTTGATCTGGAAGTAGTGTCCTGTTTCATTCCTTAGTTTTCAGGGACAATCTCAGATGCTCTCCCACGTTTCTGAGTCTCACTCTGTTGAGAACTAGAAGAACTGTTCTCCATTAACGCCTGAAGCTGCACAGACCTTGGAGAAGGAGTGGTTTCAACTCCATGGCTGGAGCTTGCATGAGTTGATCCTTTCTTCACTCCCCTTTTCGCCATTTTTGCCCACCCTACAAGCTGTTGCTGTGTCTGCTCGTTGAATATCGCTGCCTTGAACGAACTTCCCATCTTTTTTTAAACCAGATGCAAATAATACAACAAGGGTCTTTGTTAGGTTTCTGGGTTTAGATCGGTTTCTTAAGACGCGAGAAAGGGAAAGGGAAACTCGTGTTCTACCTGCGTGACAAGAGCGTAGAGTGGTAAGGTACTGTAACTGCAGAGAAGCTGAACCATCACACTGAAGGAGGAAGAAGATGAAAATTGCATTTCAGATCAGAAACTTGTGTATTTTTATGGAGAGAGTTAAGAGCTTGGCCTTTACCCGATCACGAGTCTAGGAATAATGAACTTGACTTGTCCCATGATGCAAGAATCCCAGCCAAATTGAAGCTATGATATTTGCAGGAATCAAGGGAAAAAAAGTCATTAACCCTTTTGGGACCGTTGTTATCGTATCTATCTATAGATTGGTGAAGAGACAGATGAAGCAAATATGGATGCTTACCAATATAAAGAAGAAGAAGGCCAACTCAAAGGAGTTTTGGAAGAGTATGAAATGAATCAAGAAGAGAACGAGACGAGGACTTCCGAACCAGAAGAGATCGTCAGATGGTCTGACCACTAACTCTCCCTCCACTGCCACGTGTTTCTCTGCAACTCTATGAGCCAATTCTGTAATGATGTGTTCCAACTTGGTTCCGACAGCAAGTAAGAGCTGCAAGAATCAGCCATTAATGAGTTAGGAGACATAACTAAGAAGAGCTTAGATTGTGTCAGAGAGACATGGAAGAGTTGGGTTTCTTCAAGAACTTACTATCAAAGGAATGAAGGCAAGCCAGAAGTAGATATGCCAAGCTGCAGCAGAAAAAGTTCGGTTTTTCGATGATAATTTCCAAAAAGGATGAATTCTACTGAAGAGAAAGTTAGCGTAGAAGAAACTAAAACCTCACCAGCAACGTTCAGAAGCAAGAAGATGACTACGAATACCCAAAGGTACCAGCTGCAGTTTGGTGAAGAACAGAATCAGTACATAAAAATGTATTGGAGAACTTTTCTGTCGGGTTAGTAGAAATGTTTACCTTATACCGACGACTTTCTTGAAATCGGATTCAAGGGCACGTAACAAATACTTGTGGAAATTGAATTTCGGGTTACTCTTGCAGTGATTCTACATGAAAGGAAGTATATTAGCAATATAGCAGAGAAGCTATCTTCAAGAACAGCCTTAGGAAGGTTTCTGCAATGAATACCGTAATGAAGCCTAGCCTTAGTGTGATATAATCCGATCTGACCACCGACCCGAAAAACTGCTTGAAAAAAGAATGCTGCAGAGCAAAAAAAGAAAAGTGCAGAAGGTGAGATACTTGCGTATGAATTCTGTGTGTATATAGAGAACTCGGAAGGAAAACACTCACCAGCCAACCTAAGCAAGCATCAGCTTTTCCAACACCGAGAAAACGGCTCTTTATGAAATCGTGATCTTGGACCGCAGTTATTTTGTTCTGCATAACTGCGCAAATATTAATCAATTGTAAAATGCATCATCAGTGTAAGTTCAGGAAATGTAACAGAATCTCGAAACCCTGAACAGGAATTTTGATCTTTCATCGATTCAAGATTCTGAAATGTTACATCAATTGCTGTTTCTAAGATTTTAACCGTTAGTTTACCTTCATCGGCGTCATACTCCTTTTGTGCAGCTTCATCTTCCCATTTTTTCCATTGCATTATCTACGTGAGGGTTCGTGGAATGATGAAATCAAGAAAATGACTTGATATGCTCATGTAAATCTGTCTAATCCTAATATATATATATATATATATA